ACAAGAAAAAGATTATGCATGGAGTGACTATGGTTTGAACCTAATACCTTTAAACGAGCAATTCTTGTATACAATATTCTTAGAAACGTCTATCAAATATAGTTTTTTAAAAAGAAACACACTGACAGTCCTAACCTCTCTTTAATTACAATTTTAACATAAGCAAAATAACCTAAACGAGAACTAAAAGTAACAAAACTACAAATAACTATAATTCAGACTAGCGGTCACTAATGTTCCAAATTGCCCTTGAGAGTACAACCACACAACCATCTCGTCCGAGCGCCAACGCAAAAGAGGGAACGGCTGCATAGCACTGCTCCGTTCTCGTGTCACTCCTGTCAACCCTTCCAGCTGACGTCATCGCACAAATGTACTAGGCTGAAAAGGATTTTCCTCTAAGAAGGATTTATCTCGAAGAAGGATTTTCCTCTAACACGGCCGTTCCTGACAGCTGAACGGCCTCGTCAGCTTGAATTCCTACAACAGCCTCATTTGATGGTTCTTCATCAACATCATTCTCTTCTGAAATGTTAAAACAACATTGTAGTGATGTATTATTTTGGCTTTGGTTCACTTTGCAAACGGATAGCAAGCGTGCACTCAAGCAATCCCCTTACAAATGGTAACCAAAGCAAGAAGGCATCGTCAATGAGGAGCTCTACTCATGAACGATGTCAACAAACATAATATGAGCAACAGTAAAACAAGAAGCACTCGTAAGTGGCCCTCTGGCAATCGCCAGGACAAAACATAAATAACAACAAATCAAGAAGCCACTTACGAAGCCCTCTGACAAACCTCCGCATCGAGGAGTCAGGACATCTCCGTGGCGTTCTGGCTACCCCAAATGGGTACCAGGTAAACGCACTCATGGTCACCTACGTGACGTTCTGGCTACCCCACAAGGGTACCAGGTAAACACAAACATGGTCACCTACGTGACGTTCTGGCTACCCCACAAGGGTACCAGGTAAACACAAACATGGTCACCTACGTGACGTTCTGGCTACCCCACAAGGGTACCAGGTAAACAGAGCTCACTCACCAATCCCGAAAAATGCCTCGCATGTATCCGGGATCCACTCACCCCACCACTGAACCATATGTTCTGCGGCGCTCTGAGTCTTTTTTCCATATGAGCCTGCCAACAACTCAAGCTCGTAACGGTGATAAGGCAATGCCCGCACAACTTTGTACGGACCACGCATCCCGGAATCTAGTTTGCCGGTACTTTGTGAACCCTTGCTGACGAACACGAAACTGCCAACAGAAAAAGTACGGGGTTGTCGACGACCCTCATTAACGTAGGCGTCCTGTCGTTGCTGATTGGCAGCAAGCAGTTCCGAGACCCTCTGTCTTCTCAAAGTCTGCAGGGCTTCTCGGTTCGGACGAGAGTCGCTCAGCGCAACATCTCGTTCTGGTCCCCAAACAAAAGGCACGCCTTTTCTCAGTAGCTTGGCAATACAAGCAGTCTTCGAGGCATATCCAGCAATGTACCTGCGGAAATAACCTGCCAGCCCCAAAAACTGACGCACCTCTTTTACATTTGTGGGTTTCGGGGACTTAATTAGAGCATCAGTTTTATTCGGACTCGGCCGTACCTGACCATGCCCAATCAGCCGTCCTAAGTATTCAACCTCCGGATCTAAAAACGTCAAATTGACCGAGAAGCCTGCCGCTGAGAGAGTTTTTAAAACCTCACGCAATATCTTTAGGCCTTCCTCGATTGAATTGGACATGATCAGTACATCATCAATATAGGTCAATACATGGCCAGTGTCCATAAAATGCTTGAGTGTCTTTGTGATAACGCGTTGATATACGACTGGGGCGTTAGCCAGCCCATAGGGCATTTTGAAATACTCATAATGCCCTTCAGGCGTCACAAAAGCAGTTTTACTAATGGAGGCATCGACTTTCATTGGTACTTGATGAAAGCCAGTGGCCATATCTAGACTGGTAAAATACTTGGCGTTGCCCAATTTATCGATGTGGTCATCGATTAGTGGTAATGGAAATCTTTCTTTAACAGTGACAGCGTTTAAAGCTCTGTAGTCTACGGCACATACTATCTTCCCCGTTCTTTTTCTTTACGAGGATGATAGGACTTGCATAGTCTGATTGGGACTCTCGTATGATGCCCTTACTCAAAAGATCACTAATTATGCCGCGAACGCGTAACTTCTCGTCTTTAGAAAGCTTGTACAGTCGATAACTTATCAAACTTTCACTGCTAAGCCTAATCTCCATGCTCCCTGTGTTTAATGTGGAGGTCGCTGTGCCAGTGGTGAACGTTCCAGAAAACTCGTCAATCAAAGATAACAAACGTTTCTTGTCATCACCGACTAAAGGTGTCTTCACTTGGTCAGCCAGCTCCACAGACAACACATTGTACACTTGATCAATTCTCATCAATCGTTGTGAGTCACTCGTTCTAATGTTGGTGACACTCTCTCGATTTAAAATGTCGGTCCCTACCAAGACAGGTGCCTGAATGCAATCTGGTGGTACTACATAAAGATCCGCCTCTAATGACAATTCAAGGAACTCAATTATAGTCTTAACAAAAGAAGTAGACTCGATATCTTAACTGCCGATACCTCGCAATCTACGACAGGTTGGCAATTGATTAAAACTAAAGTGCTTTAAAACCGATCTAGAAATAAGTGAAATATCAAACCCAAAATCAATTAAAACATCTACGGGTAGTTTTTGAATAATCGCCGTCATCACGTTGTCTCGTCCGGAATCGACGCAGAGCAAAAATTTACGTCACTATTGCTTTTATCATTGGACTTAGAATCCATTCATTGCTTTAAATAGCATGAACCAACAAGATGACCAGTTTTCTTACAATAGGTGCAAATCACTGTAACTGGTTTTGAATTAGACTTCATATCTCTTCAACATTTGAAGTCTCAGAGGAGGTAAATCTAGAATTAGAAGTGGCTGAACTTTTATCTTTTAAAACAATCAGCTTATTTGTGACCGCATTTACCACACGAGAAACATGTCGCCTGTCCTCTCCTAGTTACGAGGATTGGACGTTTCAGCAGCTGACGAGCGTATGGGATTACCGGTAGCACTTTGCGTATTCTTAGGTTTAACGTACACGGACAAAAATTCGACCAAGTCTTTTGGCTGCAGTTTAACGTTGGTAGCCGCGGCTTTCACTTGAGGATCGGAGATGCCACAAATTACTATGGCGGTTTTGAGCTCATCCGAAAGCCCTCGTACGATATTTAACCGCAGTAGGGACATTCGAGCGTACTCTGCATACGTGGTAAACTTGTCAGACGTTGTACTCATAACGTCATACAGCACAGTTGCTATATCAACTTCACGTGGACACAACGATCGAAACTCGGCTTTAAAATTCGACCACGAGCGATCGCTTGTTACCCAATGGTTCAGCCACGTTTTGGCGTCACCGCGTAGACAACCAGCAATACGCCCAAAACACTCATAATCATCTCAACCGTTCAAGTTTCGGCCTCGGTCTACCTCCGCACACCACACATCACAATCATGCACACTTGGATCGAAATTCAAAATGTAGTAATGCATAGATCTTACGTTTAACAATGAAGAGAGTGCACCGACAATCCCATCCGCCATGCTGCTGGTATCGCGTGGCGTTTCCGCAGGCTGTCTCGTAGAGGGCGTCGCCACGCCAACCTCAGCAGCAGTCTCGGTGACGTCCAAGACCACGGCCGAGGGGCTGCTTCGAACGCGAGGACGAGACGGAGCGGTCAAACTAGTCGCCGTTACCGGCAGGCGCTCCTCAAGGGCATTCAGTCTTTGCAAAATCAGATTTAACGGATCGCGTCGTTTTGAACGACGGTCGCGGCGTTTATGTGAACCATGCCTACATTTTCGACTATCACGGCTCCTACTTCGACGCGTCGGTGGCGTTTCACCACCAGAATAATCACTACTCGGCATAATTACTAACCGCAACTATTTACAAAAAGAACAAAGCACCAAACTACTAGAAAAAGATTGATCGACCACGTAGTTTTTAAAATAAGAGGATGGAGAACGATCAAAGTCGCGTAAATGACAGTAAATGATCCCACTTCTGATCTTAGAAACGTCTATCAAATATAGTTTTTTAAAAAGAAACACACTGACAGTCCTAACCTCTCTTTAATTACAATTTTAACATAAGCAAAATAACCTAAACGAGAACTAAAAGTAACAAAACTACAAATAACTATAATTCAGACTAGCGGTCACTAATGTTCCAAATTGCCCTTGAGAGTACAACCACACAACCATCTCGTCCGAGCGCCAACGCAAAAGAGGGAACGGCTGCATAGCACTGCTCCGTTCTCGTGTCACTCCTGTCAACCCTTCCAGCTGACGTCATCGCACAAATGTACTAGGCTGAAAAGGATTTTCCTCTAAGAAGGATTTATCTCGAAGAAGGATTTTCCTCTAACAATATAATTATAACAACGATCTCGGAAAAGGTTAAATCCATCTTCTCGAAATAATGCATTCGGGGGCGTTAATTCGATCTAGCTAGGTTTCATTTTTAGAAAATATCGTTTTTATATTATAACTAAATTATAAAAGTCATCGAGCAATGATCGGGCATCCATGTACTTAAAAACAAATAGTACCGTACAATGGGGTGGATAGCTGCACAAAGTACTAATCTAGGCAGGTTATATCTTGGGTTTACATACGTACTTTTTCATAAAATAATTAAAACTTTGTTTATCCTTGTACGCATTTACGTCATAATTATTATGTCAAGAAGGTAAACAAATCAAAACGTTGTCCACTGTCACATTGACCAAATCAAAATTTGTAATGTAAATTGTTAATTTGTTGTACCTATATAATGATGTTATAAATATATTAGTCTAACGAAATTGTATATACTTACCTGTGTTTAGCTTTGTTACATTTGAATCAATATTATATGTCTTTAATTTATAAATATTATACAATTTCAAGAACACAAGATTATAGGGTTGTAAACAAAAATGGATATTACAAATGTTGTTATAGACCACCGTCGGAGTAAGTGTCTGGATTCTTTATATGTACCTATTCTATAATGTGGCAAGGCAAACAAAACACTAAGTCTTATAGTAACGGGAACTGTGTTAAAAATCCCGGGACCCATCTTTTAACTCGTCAAGTACCGTATTTATAGTTACAATTAAAGAACAATAGGTTGCGGTCACCGGTGACCACTTGGTGTTTGACAGTTTAAACCATTCGAACAATCTGGCTGAAATTTAGTAAAACTAAAATTTTGCGACCCAGAACAGGAAATTAGATATTCACCTAAGTCCCACGTAAACGCATTTAATTTCAAGAATTCTCTATATTAAAACCACTGTACCTCATGATCATTATCATCGAGAAGACTGCTAGAAGACGTTCACTGCTGCCTTACCCTTAGTTCTCCACGCCACAAATGGCCGTACCTAACTGAGCAGTGGCCATTTAGATAAATTTACTCTAAATAAAATATTAAAAGCAGATATGACCAAAATTCGTTAACGCCGTGAAGTTCACCACCAATGGTGTTGTCTTCCTATCTGCAACTGTCAACCCACAGGTTTCAATCGACAGTCAAAGTCTGAGGAACATCAACGGACGCAGCAGTATTTTAACTGCCCTGATGGGCTCCACTACGAAATAAAGCATATTTAGTTAGGTAGTGTATTATAAATAATTTAGTTATGCATAAAACTTGATTTATCCACAGAGGACCTTGTAAAGAAAGTGCGGATCGCCAAGCAACAAGACCCGCTAATAAGTCCAATGGAAAAGTACTCCACTCTTCCAATACCTAAGGACAAGTGTTTAGCTACCTACGTCTGGGTTGATGGCACTGGCGAAAATTTACGGAGCAAAGACACCACATTAAAGTTCTTACCTATAAAACCGAAGGGTAAACTACTCCTTACTTAATACTACAGAGATAACTATCACCGTTTCAGATATAGGTAACTGAAAATATATAAAAATCAACAATGTTCAATTGAACAGTGCAATTGCATACTCGGAAATAATCATGACTTGTTACCTGATGAACTCGGATTTTTTTATTTACTACAATATTTTAAGAAAGGACGTTTTCACATGTCATCCTTTGCAGACAAGTTTTCACATATAATGGATAAGATAGAGGAAAAAATTAGAAAGGAAACATATGATACTATGACTTATTCCCAGCAAAATAAATACTTGCCGCCGTACTATTGTCCAAGAAATTTAGAAAATATATATAAAGTTGAATGCAGGCTCAGGGCAACCAGGAACACGGACACTTTTGACGAAAATTTAAAAGGTAAGAATAAAAATTTTCGTGAATATGGCACTATATAACTAAGGTTTTTCAACGATTTGGTAAAGAGCATTGATTGAAGGGGACACTTAACCGCTACTTTGTTTGCAATTCAAATTCAAATTCAAAATTTTTATTTCAGATAAAACATCCATATTTATGTTAGTAGTAGTCCCTTTCCGTAGGGAACAATTGTATCTAAATAATACAGAGTGTTTGGTTCATCGTGTGCCAAATTGAAATGGTCAACAGAATCTGCTAGCCTTTCAGGCCCCAAACACATATTTTCACAAATGTATATTTTTTCACAAAAATGAGGTGGCAATATTACGTAGGTATAATACCCATTACCCAGTACGGTAAGAACCATGGGCAGATTTTTCATGATGGGGTAATTTCGCCAGATGTACATTTTTTCATTATTCCCAATTTTACTTTCAACACAAATAAGTTTTCTTTTATTTACGTTAACTCTCTTACAAATAGATTAATAGACACAATTAAAACTAAATGATGGTCCTAACTATATGCGATAAAGCAATGAGATATAAAGAGAAAATGCACAATGTACGAATTCACCCCCACCACAATGTATGTGGTCATGGTTCGTGTCGAAGGCCAGTTATATGTATTTATTTCTTGGCATAGATTTACCAATACTGCCTTTCGATGGAAATGCATGTGGTCTAACAAAACGAACGAATGCTGACATGCTCTTGATTCCGCGAGCGATATACAAGGACCCGTTCAAACGTGGCAACAGCATCTTAGTTATGTGCGATACCTATAACTACAAAATGGAACCCACGCGTACGTCATTCTAATCTTATTCTAAAATAGATGTAAATAAGGAAGCATTTCCTTTCTAGCCCCTACTTTGTAAAACTTGTATTAGTAAACGCACTAATAATACAGGAGAAAAACGTCAGAAAATCCTTTTCAAAAAAGCTTCGTAGCCTTTCGTAGTATTGTCGTAGTACTTACTACGAAATGCTACGAAATTTTGTTTCAGTTGTTTTTCTACCACTAGATATTCTTTAATGTGGTAAGTTGCCATGCCTTTAATCCGCCGATTTTCTATTTAGAGAATGCCAGCCATATGTCATTAATATCCGCCTAATGAACTATCACTTGTTTCTGTGTGCATTAAAGTTTAAATAATTAATTAAACAAGTTGTTCCTAAATAAGTAAATTGCGGATAAGAGTAATAAAACTTTTTCACTAATATGTGTTCCTGAAATTGGTATTGGCTGTGTGAATGGTAGACCCACTTTAATACTAATCTGCAACTCTGTCTACCTCCTCAGAGACATATGTTTGAAGCTACATAAAGAAACAAGTCGGTACGAGTAGACGTAGTACGGGTCGGTATGGATCGACGCCATATTTCAATATAAATGTATTCACTAATGATTCACTCATTTATAAAGATAATGTGTCGACGGCAGTTGTTTCTCGAAAATATTATACCTCCGCCGATCGGTACTAACCCGTACAAAATTTAATGCAGCGGAAATCTGTAAGCACTCAATAGTATAAATCATGTGCACAAAGTAATTTTTGCATAATACCTTTTGTTAAAATCAGCTTGCTTTATCACAGGAACTAACCATCGTCACAAGTGCGCGGCCACTTACAATAAATGCAAGGAGCATGAGCCCTGGTTCGGTTTGGAGCAGGAGTTTTACTTATTGAACCCCATCGACTCACGACCGGTAGGCTGGCCCAAATGTGGTTTTCCTCGAAATTCAAGACAATATTATTGCGGAATTGGTGGGGATAAAGTTTTCGGTCGAGAACTTATCGATGCCCATTACAGGTTACATTTCTATTTGAATAAGATTACTATTTTTTTTTCAATGTCGTGGTGGCCCACGCCAAGAGAGAGTGCCAGCACCAGCCTAAGCAAAGAGCAAGGCCATTACCTACTTTTTCTCGAAGCGCTTTATCATATTTTTGAACTTTCTTAACTTGTTGTTCGATTATATCGATAGTTTTGTAGTAAATGTTAACCTTAACCTTATAAGGTTATTTACTTAACTCATGCGGTTTGCAAACTAGTAAAATAAACTTGCATGGCTCTACTTCTATTCGCAACAAAAATGAGGTCTGTCTGTGCGACCGTGCACATGTTAAGTTAGCATCTTATTTGTGCTTTTACTTAATTGTACGTGCATTCTCATTATTCGCGTAAGCACTCACATTCATATACATAGTTCACTTGAACAAGTAAGCGTGTGTTTAGCCTATCAAAAGACTATACACTGTTTGTATGGATAACTATATTACCCTGTAGTATTTTCCCGCTACGAGGTACGAGCTACTGCTCGCTACCCGCTACTAGCTACGGCGCGCTACGCGCTACAAGCTACGACTGTAGCCGTAGCCGTAGAGGAAGTTTGTAGCGCGTAGCAATAATTTCCGGCTATTAATCTCATTTGCGGCAAAACTCTTGCCCTGCGCCCGGTTCACCAGTTGAGTCCACGGTTTGCACGCGAAAATGTCATACTACGCGCTGAAAAATGTCATACTACGCGCTGTGGACTACGAACTACATGCTACGCACTACGGGCTACGGTTTTAGTATTTCGTCTCAATTTACATACAGCTAAGTGTAAATGGGTTATTGATACAGGGCTAGGCATGAGGCTTAAAAACTTGACTTTACATGAGATCAGATTTTTTTGACAGTGCAAGATTATAAAGGTCTCAATCTTAGTTCTTACTATTTTATGTGAAAATATTTTTGTGGTGTTATATTTATCATATCAATTTTTAATATCATGACCATATACAGCATTGAAATATGCGAGTACTCAAGTATGTAGAATTACGAAATAGTCATACAGTTATTAAAATTTGCAGATGTTGTCTATACGCTGGTATTCCTTTGTGGGGTATAAATCCAGACTTAGTACCGTCACAGTGGGAGTATCAAGTCGGTCCCTCAGTTGGAATAGACGCAGGTGACGATGCCTGGATGTCTCGCTACATTTTGAATATACTTGGTGAGAAATTCGGAGTTATAATCTCCTTCGAGCCTAAACCAGTTGCACAGTGGTCTACGTCTAAGGCACAAATGAATTTTTCCACTCAGGCTACACGCGGAGTAAACGGTATTTCGTAAGTTTTCACTTTATACTTATTTGTAAATATGTACCTACCAAGTCACATAAGCTATTTAGAGGCTTAGAGAGCTCGTCTCTCTAAGAGAGACTTAGGCTTTTTAGGACACTATAGTCGTTGATACGACCTAGTCACTAACGGGTAACCGGGGCTCCGGCCCAACGTGCAGGAGAAGGAACGGGGTGGTTTTTAGTCAGTAAGAGTCTGACAATCCCTTTCGCCTCACCCAGGCGGGAGCAGAAATTCGAAGATTTTCCCCCTTAAAAAAAAAGTCATGCAAGTAAGTCAATGTTAAGGTATAGAACTCTATGCTCCCTAACCCTTTATACTCCATACAGTTGTATCCTTACTGGTGTCACTCGCTGGTCACGGAACCATTAATTTATATCAAGAACATAAAGTTGAAATCGAAAATACATACCTAATAATAATTTTGAAATGTTTACCGTTATTTAAGGAGAAAACCGAACAGATCAGATTTGAAAATTCACTACACTTTCCAGGGTAATTCAGAAGGGAATAAAAAAGTTAGCAACTTTTCATGAAAGGCACATCAAAGTATATGACCCTCGACGTGGACTGGATAACAAGAGGCGTTCGACTAGTACTGGATTAACAAAAAGTACCATAGATGATTTTTCTGCAGGTAAAGTAATAATTCCCCTCTGAAGAAACAAAGCGCTCATTCAGTTCAAAACTGACCGTCATAAAGATTAGGTGCGTGTGCTATACATGCCCGAATTCATGATCACTTTGAACCAAATTGGTAAATAATTATGGATGTTTTAGACATTGCTCGTTTTCCTTTACAATCTACTTATCATCAAGTTATTAATTTACTTTTGACAATTTTATTATTAATTTAATGTTTTTGTGTAGCTAATAAACCAAGGTAGTTTTTCTAATAGTTTGTACGCTTAGTATAATATATTTTTTTAATCTCGATTTCTATTGACCAAATTAGTGAGTAAAAACAAAATTTGATACTAATTTACTTGCTATACTAAAGCGAATGATATTTCTGAAAGTATTAGTATTAATTAATTAAAATGTTAATTGATGTATTGACAAAAAATTTAAACTCAAATCGGATTTAAATTAGATCGAAATGTTTTCACCAAAACCGAAAATGTTGAATATCTCAGAAACTAGCTACTTTCGGACTAGGGGCCTCAGGACTATTTTTGTAGGTAATTAGTCATTTTTGTAGGTAATTAAGTAATTTTGTAGGTAGTTGTATTATCACCTGCCGACAGAAATACGTCGAGTTACATACAGTCACCCAGTATTATAATATGCTGTGAAATTCATGTGAAGTTTATATTTACCGCGATTACCATTCTTAAACTTACAGTTCTATCTAATTATTATTGTTACCTACTTTTTCATTACATTACATTTACATTCTTGTAAGATAATTTCATTTTTATTCGGTAACAGCACTTAGCGATCGACGTCTTTAAAAAATCCCTCAAACTAAACTTAAAAAAATGTTCGAAGTGGTAAGTACCTACCTAGGTAGGCTAGCCTACCTATCAACATCTTGAAGACGACTCAATTGTGATGAGTGAGACGATTAGATTATCGATATTTACCTTATCATCATCAGCATAAAACATTAGTTCCAGCAATCTGATCCAGAGTATCTAATAGTCATTGGGAGACCCTTATGTTCAGCAGTGGTTATCTTGCACCTTTTGGCTACTGTGATGATGATCAGTAATAAAAAAATATTATAGATTTATTTACGTATAAGTACCTAAGTATAAGTATACAAATAACAATTAATATTAAAGTTATCATAAAACAATTATTTTTATAGGAATTGCAGAGCGTTTCTATAGCATACGAATACCGCGCACAGTGGCTGAAAATAAATGCGGTTATATGGATGACCGTCGACCCCCTTCAAACTGTGACCCTTATCAAGTGATCGAAGCTCTAATGGGCACTGTTATACTTAATGAATAACAGCTGTCTTTATTAGCTACACCGCATCTCTGAAATAAGTTTTGTCCATAGTTTGAACATTTTGTATGCTGATGTAACTGGAAAACTATTAAAATATGTTGTATATTTGATATTATTTTATTTTAAACCTGAGGTAAGGATTTTGAGTGAGTTACTATTGAGAATAATACCAAAATTAAACAGCTCTTCCGAGCGACATCCACTATAAACCAAGCTCGTCCTTTCTTGTTATACTTCTAATAATTTACACTATACACGTTAGACAACTATGTGCAATGATACAGACAAGATATTTTAGTTACTATGTGTACAATGTGTGGGTTGTATACCTAATTACATCAGTCACCATAAAATATGAATGTATCCGATAAAAATATTGGGGATATGAATTTAGATTAATATGATTTCTATGTTTCATAGAATTTCAATTTATTATTTCTTTATCATCATTTATCATCATCACATGTTAATGAAGTATGTTAATTTAAAATTGTCATAGTGTTCATATATTAAGGTGTGGGTTGGAAATAAAAAGATTCAACACGTACGGACATTCAGATATTTATTATTGATAACTTATCAATCTCTAAAATGACAATCAGAGAGGTAAAATTATTAGATTAAAACATGATCAACGCCAGTAAAACAAACATAATGAACAACAAAATCATATGACACGGCAATTGAAAACAGGTATAAGAAGATAAAGTATTTCATTTCATAGATTATAATTCAATAACATACAATAAAATAAAAATAAACCATGTGCGAACCTCACAAAGATTATCATACTAAGAAGATTATAATAAAATAGACATTAAACATCTAATGATCGGTTATACAGTACCGATATACACGTAAGATAAAATGTAATACTATTTCTTTACTTTATTAAATATCATAAAACACCGACTGTTATACTGTAAGGACTGTTCCGACGAAAATGTGATAAAATGTTAAAATCCACTACATATATAATGATGCCGTTTACCATGTGCTCTCTGCAAGGCCGATTAAATCCGCAAATAATTCTATTATTTATCCCTCGCGTATACATTTCCCAAATATTTTATTCATTCTTTAACAGCACAATGTAATAAGAGCCCAACCTCTCACGGCAATAATATCTTAAAATATTCCTAGAGATAACATTGAAAGTCAAAAAATCGTTTGCTTTGCTTTCCTCAAGTGCGTCTATTCCATCCTACTAGCTCCCCGCATCCTACCACGACGGCGCGCTTGCGCTTACAGCACATGCCAGTGGTCTACTAACAAACCTTTGCTCTGCGTAAATTTGCAGAGCGCTAACATAACTACTAATGCGGGTGCTATGCGTTCGTGACCCTTATTGGGTTCTAGTCCCCAGCACTGTTGGGTTTGTCCTCTTCCACTTCAACCAACGCAAATGTTTCTGTCCGACATTCAATCAGTAATTCAATCAATGACTGCCAAACAAGCTGCCAAGCTTTTCTTATCCAAACTAACAGGAAAAGCACGATTGCACGCTGCAAAGATAACTATAATAGACACCTATGACACATGAATGATTATCTGTTGCATTAAACATTAAATCTATTACGATATCGCTGAAGCTACATCAACAATGTCATTTTTGGAACCACATTTTAGTCCTCGAGAGACTCGGCTGCTTTCAAATCGAAATACAATATGATCCAAAAATGTACACTGGATCATACTAAACAATAAGCACACGAAAATTTCATGATAACATCAATCTGACCGGAATTATGAAGTGAATACCAATTTCAAATGCTTAACACTATTGTTGATAAATAGACAATCATTATAATTAATAGTATTGTAAAGATCCCCGCAGACTACCAAAATTATCGTCCAATAGTTGCCCCATTTTATTTATGGGCATGAAATCTCTATAATATGCGAACAATCAGAACATTATTTATCGTATTTCAATTAAAATACGTATTTCAAATCAGCCTCAACTATCGGCCAATAGAAAGTAGTCTGCAGAGCACCTAAGGAATTCAATGTAATGGAATATATTCCACTATATAAGAGTCAATCAATGCATGTAAATTAGAAGACAGTAATGTCAAGGATTAAAAACAATAAATCAATTACAATAGCTAAATTATATAGCGTTCCTCCATTTTCTGTTAAAGTTAATTCCATAATTCGCGTGATAACTGTTGTGTTAAATGACGACGCAGTGCAATACGTGTGAGGCAACTTCAACTAATGTGGAACAAAAGAGCCAAGTAATAGCAGCATCACTAATTTATGTGGCAACGACGTAACATGCATCACTCTAATAAAATAATGTTCGTTTAAAAAATTAAGTAGTTTCAATTATGTTATAATCCAATGTTTAGGTATAATTTTATAATGATTATTAAATACAAAATTATTAATATAATGCAAATATCCACACAACTAAGACGATATGACTAGTATTAGTATTGATAGTTAGTAGAAATATGATATCAAAATATTAATTAAACTGGCAACGGAAACGGGACGGACCGATGTAGATGTATCGTGATTTTGAGACTATGAATAAAGTGTTAAGAAAAGATGTTATGCAAGTGTATTGGTAAGAGTTACATCAATGCCCATGTAATACGACACATCATCGATGTAATTGAATAAAGTTATATGTATGCCAACAGTTGGTGTTTACAGACAATAGAAAAGATAAAACAACCAACAGGGTTTGTGTGGTTTTGCCGTGGACTGTAGTGAACACAATTAATTTTCCGTTTGTTTCGTGTTAATTATATTAATAATATTTATTAACATTCAGCTGCCATCGCAGATAAAACGTGGAAATCCGTTGGACTTCCTCAGTACATAATGTGTGCAACCCACTCTTGCTGCTACTATTTGGTGGATGCTGTGCATCGGCCTAATATTATATAAATATCAGATTGCTCCCCGCAGCATGAAAGACAACCTGATTTATAGAATCTTTATAAAAATTTTATTAAAAATAAATCATATCGCCCGACGACATAAATAAAATAATATACTCATTTGAATTGTAACAAATGAGGAACATACCTAATTTTTGTCTCAAAGTTAAAAATATATTATGTAACTTCCATACGTTTCAAAAGAATAATTTTATTATGTTACTACAATAAAGGTCATGCAACTTTTGCTCCATTTCACTATTCGAGAATTTCCCAACAACTAAAAACAACTATTCAAGTTACTAAGCTACCTATATTCACCACAACCTTCACACAATCGCTGACGCTATTCTAAATCATTTGCAAATACATCCAACGACTTTTCCGATCGAAATCGTAATTCAAATTTCTTAACACCTCGAATATCGTGGCTCTTTCTCTCACAATTCGAATAGTAAATTGAGGCAAATCGTGTCAAGTGCACGCCTTGATCATGCTAACACTAACAATTAAACACTATCCTCCAAGTCCTTACGGAGCTTAAAATAAATTTATTTAGACCAAAAAAAAACATATTTACCAATATTTTGTAATACGTCAAATAAATAAAAATTAATATATTATAAACTTATTATTATAAACTGATTCTGTCAAGTTCGAACTATATTACACAATACAGATCATATTCTTACAAAGCACAAAACGAAAATTGAATCAATAATCATAAACATAACGACAGCTGCCATCAACTAAACGATCACTGAGTTTTCGTGTCAAGTGTAGCCTTATTTTATACACTAGTATTAGGAAAATACGCTTAGACGACTCTAAAGGGGATCAAGGTTCACAAACAATGATATAGATCTTGTTTATGTTCTCAAAATGTATCGTAACCTAAGAGCCGACCAACACCATGGAATATATATCTTTGTGTTATATATTTCATCGTTCAAATATATGGTGGTGATTAGCTATACGAGATCAAAATGGTAATCGCCATAGATAGCAGATTTATGTTCTCCTGAAAATGAAGACCAAAGTTACAGTATAGGTCGAAATATAGACTTGCTGGTCAAACTCAGAAAACGTAGTATTCTCGAATTTGCCATGAAACTCAGATAGTTAGAAAAACATTGAAATACTAGTATTTATATATTAGAGGTCTCTTGAGTTAAGATGTTTCGCAAGAGATGGTGGTCAGCCCCAGGGTTGTAAGCTCGATATACATCAATCTTGATAGAAATGGTATTAGTTCTAATCTAGTACAGATAAAATTTCGCTTACATTTACCGGCACATGCCACCCATAATTTACTTATTGTACTAACACAGTGATTCCTTAGGTCATGATAATAATGATAAAATTTAAAAGTTTTTAGCTTGTGACAAGTCCATGTGTGTAAGGTTGCCATAACTACTAGTTACGGACCAAAGTAGTTGATCTTGATATACAATAAACTCGCTCCGACGATGGCGGTCAGTGTTACACACATGGTGATCCTGCAACACCGGCGCTATTCACGCAGTCGAGGATTGATCTCCTCGAAAAACTCCGTTAGTTAGTTGTCAGGGGACGAGGAGAGAGGGGGGCTGTAGGCGGTGTCTCGGGCCGCGTAGCGGGCGCAGTTGTCGATCACAATGTATGCCAGCTTCTTGATCATGATCACTTTGAACCAAATTGGTAAATAATTATGGATGTTTTAGACATTGCTCGTTTTCCTTTACAATCTACTTATCATCAAGTTATTAATTTACTTTTGACAATTTTATTATTAATTTAATGTTTTTGTGTAGCTAATAAACCAAGGTAGTTTTTCTAATAGTTTGTACGCTTAGTATAATATATTTTTTTAATCTCGATTTCTATTGACCAAATTAGTGAGTAAAAACAAAATTTGATACTAATTTACTTGCTATACTAAAGCGAATGATATTTCTGAAAGTATTAGTATTAATTAATTAAAATGTTAATTGATGTATTGACAATAAATTTAAACTCAAATCGGATTTAAATTAGATCGGAATGTTTTCACCAAAACCGAAAATGTTGAATATCTCAGAAACTAGCCACTTTCGGACTAGGGGCCTCAGGACTATTTTTGTAGGT